CATTTCACCTGGAATATTCTCTTTCTTTTATGCATAACTACACATACCATATACGCAAGAATTCCCTTTCTTGCATCTATTGTTGCATCCTCCACAATTACGCTTGTCTGCCAGGGGGTTCACGCATTTTCCCTTGCAACATATTTCTTGGTTCTTGCATTTCTTCCCACAAAGTCCACAATTTTGTTTATCAGTCTTAACATTTACACATTTCTTCTTGCAACAATCTGGACCTACGCTTCCTTTCACCCTGCAGAGTCGTGGATTCTTGTTGCATTTCAACAGGCCCCTCAATTGTTGTGCAAGGAACCGATTAGCTCCTCTTAACGACCCATAAGTAGGAAAAGCATCTTTTTCCTCATCTTCTACTAGTGTGGCAGATAGATTGATGACTAAAGCCAAGAGAATTATCAGGATTATCAAGATTTTCATGGTGTTGCGAGCAGATCTGGAGAGAAACTAAGATAAAGATAAGTATGGATGTATACAGTATATAGTGAATGAAGATTTTGGTGGAAGGATGGATGAGACTAATATTGAACGGGGAATGTATATATAGGGTGGTAGTGTGAATGATTTTATATATTCGGAAGTCTTGGGTTGAAAATATGTTAGGTTTATGGATGATATTTTTGTAGCAAAGACTCCACTAAAAAGATTCGACTTTGAATTTTTATGGTATTTTCTTGTTTATAAATTCTCCAAACTACATAGTAATATTATGGTAACTGTTTGTATAATATTGCTCTAAACTCATATTATGGTATCTATTTGAAAACATGTAGTGTTTCTTTAGAGAAAATTAATGCTTATATAATTAAATAACTTATTAAATGCCAATATTACAGAATTAATTAAAAAATAAAGTACGTATGAAATCAACATTACACGGTTTCATAATTAATTATCTTGCCGCAAGAATTCATGTTTGACCAGAAATATAGTTATTGGAGCACTTGCCACTTGGAATATATATATATTTATTTTGACTTCTAATGGCTTTCGAAAACGTAGAACAAAAGGGTTTACACATATATTCCTGGTTAGGCCAGTTATTTTAGTTAAACTGCATGCATGTGGTTTACACTCGGATCGTAGAATTTGGGACAAAATTCTACCAACAGAAGAAAAAAAAAAAAAAAAAAATCCTTTGCAATAGCACGGACTCGATGGAAGGTGAAGCCCAAATTTTATTAACTACCGACGGTTTTGCGACAAGTATACAAATGTGGGTAATTCATTTGAAATTTTAGAGTTAAATGTTTTTATAAAAAAATCAATTAATTTATCTGCGGATTAGGGTCAGGATTAAAACGTTAAAAAGACGTATAAAGATCAACGTAAGTTAATTACAATCAGTAAAGAACCCGCGGCTACGCCGCTTTTGGGGTAATATGGAAAAAATCGACCAACTTTAAAAAATATGTGCTGAAATTTTAAATCATCATAAATAGGGGAGAAAGTCGACAACCCCTAAAATTAGATGTCAAAAGTGTATAACGAAAAGAAGGGACATTGGTGGAGAAGATCCAAAAATGTTGTGGCAATAATGTTAAAATTGTCAAAGTTGGGAAAACATTGTGGCAAAATTTTAAAGGAGGTTTTGTGTGTTTTTTATGTCAAAATGTAAAAGTTGTGACTACAAGGACGAAAAGTGTCAAATTCATTAAAGATTTGTGGCAAAAACACCAAAATGTAAAATCTTTGACTGTAAGGACTAAAAGTGTCAAAGTCATTAAATATTTGTGGCAAAAACCTTAAGGCACAAAAACTTAATCAAAAGGCAAAAATGTAAAATTTTTGACTTTAAGGACTAAAAGTGTCAAATTCAGTAAATTTTTATGGCAAAAACCTAAAGCCTAAAAAAATACTATTCCTAAGCTCCTTTTGATTTAATATATATATATATATATATATATATA